TCTGAGTTCTTGGATTTTTATGGCTTTTCAAAACCACACCCTTTTATTAGGCTTGTCAGCTGTCACTTCTCCTTCATCAGGGAACCAGCCGCCTTACCCTCCCCTAATGGGCTAGAAACCAGGAAACCAGAAACTCATGCCTGGTAGGACTGCCCCTAAAGACGGTGCAAAGTCTTACCAACTTCCTGGAGGGTTCTGGGAAGGTGAGGCAGCTGGAGAAGTGAGCTCTATGTAAGACAGGTGTTATATGCCCTCTTCATAAACAAATATGGAATTCTTGGTGATCACTTCTCTCCAGCTCTTTGTCAGCCTTGCGGGGACACTCCACCATGTTCCCAGAAAACCACACCAAAAAGGGGGTGGCTGCCCGTGAAGCCTCTTACCAGCACATGCATCTGATTCTCCCTTTGCTTTTCTCATGTTCCCAATTTTGGCCCAAGGGCACATTTTTTTTTGGTGAGTTATTGTTTAAAATTCCCCTGGATAAATCAGTAACTTTTTAACTCACTAATTATACAAGGATTTACAATCAAAATCCTACTGAAGACTAGGCCAGCGTCCCAGCGGGGACACTCCACCATGTTCCCAGAAAACCACACCAAAAAGGGGGTGGCTGCCCGTGAAGCCTCTTACCAGCACATGCATCTGATTCTCCCTTTGCTTTTCTCATGTTCCCAATTTTGGCCCAAGGGCACATTTTTTTTTGGTGAGTTATTGTTTAAAATTCCCCTGGATAAATCAGTAACTTTTTAACTCACTAATTATACAAGGATTTACAATCAAAATCCTACTGAAGACTAGGCAAAACACACACACACACACACACACACACACACACACACCACACACACAGAGGCTGTGTGTGGTGTGTATGTGGGGATTAAAACGAATCTAGTGTTAGAAGCCAGGATAATAGTTACAGCAAGAGCAAAGGGTAATGAGCCGTAGGCATGTGGGGGTGCTTCTGAGACACTGGTTATATTCTATTTCCTGATCTGGTTATACTTTGAAAATTCACTCAGCGTATACACTGATGATTTGTCATGAACCTTTTGGTACAAATGTTATATATACATCAATTAAAAATTTAAGGAAAAAAAGAGGTTTATCTTTTAAACACCACTGCCATGCCACAAGAAAACAGAAGCTAAAAGACTGAGGTCCTTTAACCCTCCTTAATGTTTGACGCATGACAGTGAAGGGTGCGTTACATGTTTTCAGAACTCAGTGCTCTCACGGGCACACACTCATTTCATGCCCTAAGTAAATAATGGCAGTTCACCATAAATTGTGCTGTTAGGCTAACCAGCCAAGGGCCTCCGAGTCTGACTCCTCCCAAGTGAATGGGCTAAATTGTTCATAAACACAATGAATGGCTCAAACAAGTAACTCTGAGACTTTGAAATGATGCTGACCCAGTTCATTAAGTCTTCCCTTTCATAGTCTGAGTTCTGAGGGGATTTATTCATCTGATACCAACCATTTCACTTTCCTGGAAACATGCCACTTAGTCACCTGACATTTATAGAGCAAGTCATCTGGGGTGAAGGGGGATTTGCTAAAACTCTGAACACAAACTGACACCCTGCTGCTCTGAGCGACTTCCCGGTGAGTGAGTCCTAGGGCCTGGGGAGCTCAGGCAGACATTTCTGGATGCTGATGGACTTTGGAATCTGAAATCTCATTTACAGAGTGTGATTCATTTCTCCTTAATTCTATTCTAACAAGATAGTGATTCATTTTTCGTAAATTCTATGCCAACAAGTTACATTATTCACCAGGCCGTCAGGAGAGGGGGAAACTGTCTTCAGGCAGTTATTTCAGTCTCTTTTATTGTCCCATGTACTTGGGTAGCTTTTGCCTGAATTAGGAGTAAACAGCACAACTCTAAAGTATGGGCTTCTTTAAAAAAAAACAACAACTAACAAATATACGCACACAAATACTGTTGAAGTAATAACAATGCCCGTCTATTCCATTATTTTTAAATAACCTTGTGTCATTACTCTTTTTGGAAATACCCTGCACGTCACATGAAAAAAAACAACTGTCTTATCTTGTTCACTTGCACTTAAATCAAAAACAGTATTTCCAGCTGGATCCCAAGTCTTATTCTCCACACATGGCTACACAGGAGTGTTGGCTATGTACAGAAACCAACTGGTATTCAAAAGATTACATGTGAATGTGCCAACTTTCAGGTTATTCAAGAGTTTGAGCTATGACTCTCAAAGGGGGAAATGTGCCTTTACAATGGAGAGGTGAGGGAGGCACTATTTTTACCAAGCAATTCAGCTTGGTGTGGTTAATGGCAAGCTAGTTAGCACGTGCCACCTTTGCGCACAACACAAGTATGTGGCGATACTTTTCCTACGCCGTTCAACCTGCATGTGATCATACCTCTAGACCTAACCCCGGATATACAGAAAATTCAGGCAACAGAAGAAAAAGTTAATTGGTATCATGAGGAAATAGAGATGAATCTAGAGCAGTGATGGCGAACCTATGACACGCGTGTCAGAGGTGACACGCGAACTCATTTTTTTGGTTGATTTTTCTTTGTTAAATGGCATTTAAATATATAAAATAAATGTCAAAAATATAAGTCTTTGTTTTACTATGGTTGCAAATATCAAAAAATTTCTATATGTGACACGGCACCAGAGTTAAGTTAGGGTTTTTCAAAATGCTGACACGCCAAGCTCAAAAGGTTCGCCATCACTGATCTAGAGTGTGGTATAGTCTCTAAGAGAGCTGACCTAAATGCTTCAAAAGTCAGTGGCATGGAAGTCCTGGCCGGCGTTGCTAAGTGGTTAGAGCACCAGCCCTCGCAACGAAGGGTATTGGGTTTGATTCCCGGTCAAGGGCACATACCTGGGTTGTAGGCTCAATCCCCGGCCTGGTAGGTCATGAAGCATGTAGGAGGCAACCAATCAATGTGTCTCTCTCTCTCCCTCCCCACCTTCCTCCCTTCCACTCTCTCTAAATATCAATGGAAAAAATATCCTTGGGTGAGGATTAACAAAACAAAACAAAACAAAACAAAAGCCAGTGTCATGGGAAACAAAGATGGGGGTACTTAAGAGATTAAAAGGGACTTAAAAGAGACTGACAACCAAGTATATTTATATGAACTTTGATTGGATCTTGACTATCTTTAAAAAATCCATAAAAGACATTTCTGAGACAATTGGGAAAATTTGGTTATGGGCTATAGATTAGACATTATCATGGATGTATTGCTAATTTTTTCAGATGTGATCCTGATAGTTAGGCAGGAGAATGTCCTTGTAAAGAGATGCAGGGTGAAGTACAATGAATATTATATAGTAATAAGAAAAAAATAAAATACAGATATACTCACTGACATGGGTAATCTTAGAAACAATGTAGAGAGAAAGGAACAAGCCACAGGGAACTTTGATAATATTTTTATGAAGCGCAAAAGCAAGCACAACTAAAATATTGTAGGGACAGAGACTATAGGGCTACCCTATAAAACAAGGGTATAAGAAAAAAAATTCCAGAGAGCTTATGTGTGTGGAGAGGGGCCAGGAGGATGGGGCAAGGTGGGCTGTGCAGGGTGCTGCACAGTTTCAGTAACGGTGAGGGACGGCCTACACTGGGTGGTGGGCACACAAAGGTTTGTTTTATTACTAGACTTCATAATTCACATACATACATACATGCTTCTGTATTATCAATTATTTCATAATAAAACTGACCAAAAATATTTGGCTATTAAAAATGTCCCTTGATTTCAGAACCCCTGCATTCTCGTAACGCTGAGTAAATGACCGAGCCTGTCTTCCTTAGCTAAATAATGGTGTTAGAACAGATGGTCTTTATGCTTCCTCTGAAGTCTACCCTCATCTCTGGGATGATGGCTACTGGCATTAGTGAGCTATTAAAATGAAGGTTTAAAAACAGATTACACGCAACAGAATATGAAAGGAAAAATGTATCTAGAGATCACTCATTTTCCCAAATAAAACTATGACAAATAATACCCTTGTTTTGTATATGTGTATCCAGAATAAACAGGCCTGGAATAAATCTCCTACAGACATTTTTAAAAGTTCCTTACACAGCAAAGATCTTTCTTATACCAGTTCAGGGGACTGGAGCACCAACAGAAGCAAAATGAGCTCAGCTACCTATTACCAGAGAATTCTCCAAGCCCCTCAGGACTGGCCTTGCAGATCTGTAAAAGCGCTAATGACCTGGCCCCACTGCTGACCTATCAAGTTCAATGTGCCCAAACTTTGAACTGACATCCAAGACAGCTTTCTGTTCTCCTGGAGGCACCAGAAATGAACAGCCAGAGAAAAGCTGTCCGTGCCACGCCAGCCCGTCAGATCCTGAAAGCTGTGACAGGCTCTAACTACCACCCACAAGACAAGTCAACTTATTCTAAAGTGCAGCTCATTAGGCTTCCCCATAGCCCAAGCCTGAGTCAGCAAACCTTCCGACATGAGATTAAAATATGATGGCAGATGCCTATTTCATTCCTCTCTAAGGAAAGTGATATTCTCGACATTCTTACTTTAGGTCTCACTGATGTGAAAAAATTAAAGGTGCCAGGAGATGAAGACTTTTTATCTTTTTTTTTTTCCTTTTGTTTAGATCCCTCCTTTTCTTCCCAATCACTAAATATAGAAGTGGCCAAGGCTCAGATGGCTTTTCTGTTCTTTACACTCCCTCCCTCTGAGGTCTCCTCAGCGCATGGTGTGCATGCCTTCACGCCTGAGGACTCTGAATTCACATCTCCAGCCTCCCTCCAGGACTCCAGCCTCAGAAACCCGGCCTCCTGCCTGGCCTCCACCCTCAAAGAACAGCTGGCACGTCCAACCTCACATCTCCAACACTGAACTCCGGCACTGCCCCTCCTCGCCTCTCCTCCAAGTCTTCTCCAATCTTTATTGATATTTGATTGCTGGGCTATTATTGATGTATAGAACAAACAATAACACTTGGGTTAGTTCAGGGGAGGCTCTTTCAAACTTTAACAAAAGGAACAAATTTAATGAACTAAAAAGGTGACCCCCTTGAATAAATGATGTGACTTATGCTCCTGTTTCAAGATTATGACAAATGCTGGGGTCCCAAACCCTGGATGTTTCTCAGCCCCTCACACCTCACAGACAATCTGTCAGCAGATGTTGTCAGTTCCACCTTCAAAATGTATCCAGAATCTGTTCATTTCTCACCAGCACTGCTGCGCCATCCAAGCCACCAAAACCTCTTGCCCACATAACTGCAACTGCCTCCTAACTTGTTTCTTTGCTTCCACCCTCACCTCATTACAGTTTATTTTCTATACAGCAGTTAGTGACCGTTCTAAAACACAGGTGAGACCAAACTCCATCAGTGATTACCCACATCCCTTCAAGTCATCTAAAATCCATCCCAACGCCTAAAAGGCCTGACATGCCGTGACGCCTCTCCCCCTGGGCGTCCTGACTCACTTTAGTCGCCACATGTGCCTCCTGGCTGTTCCCTGAGCATGCCCAGCAGGGCTTTGCAAAGGCTGTGCTTCCTGCCCAGGCCACGCCCCCTGCCCCTCCTCCCTCACATAGCCCCAGGGCTGACTCCCTGGCTTCCTCCAGGTGTCTGCTTGGCTAGTTAGACCTTTCCTGACCACTTTAAAGTAGCATTACCACTGTCCCTCTCTGTAACTTACGTTCCTGTAGTATTTACCATCTGACACATTACACATGCATTGTCTTATGCAGACCCCATTAATAAAAATTTTTGCACATTCTCTGAATACATGAGTATTTATAAATTACATATTACCACTGAACATATCATGAATTTATTAGAAAACATACACAAAAATGAAATTTTAAACGGAGATTTTAAATAAAATATAAAGAAACTTTAGTGTTTGGGGCTGGGCTTTTTTCTGCGTCTCAATGGCTGCGTTTCACGTGCCCTAGGCTGTGCACTCCACTTGACAGACCCCATCCTTCAGTCTTGCAGCCTGCACTTTTCTATCCTCGTTTCTCCCCCATTTGAGATATTTTCATTTCCTTCAACATACTCTTGCAGTTTCCTGTGATTTGTGCAATCAACATCCTAGGGGCTTTGGACAGCATTGTGTGAAACGTGATGCGTTGGCCTCTATCCCTTGGCCTCTATCCCGGCTGAAACATCAGGGGCACAGGCTTTGAACGACCAGGAAGGTAAAATCTCCTACTCAGCTGTGAATGAATCAGGTTCCTCTGTGATAAGGAAATCCCCACATTGAAAATGCATTTCCCCCCCTTACTTTTCCCCTAAGAAATCATTGTAAGAGCTGTACAACAACATCAGAATTTTATGTGCCTCATTAAACAACAACAATCCTGTTAGTCAGTAATTAATCACTTAGCAACACAACAAATTAGAGACAGAATATTTTAAGTATTCTTTCCAGTACGACACTCACCAAAAAAGCTTCATTGAAATTGTACTTAAAATAAAGCACTTACGTGCCCCAATGCACTTTCATGGAACAGGTTTTCTGCATTACACCAAAGCCCTGCATTTCTTCAGTGTCATCGAAGTAGGAATGGACGACTCCCAGCCCTTCTCGTTCAGTAAATAAGTCAATGTGACTAACTCTGTAATCCTGAAAAATAAAAAATACATGTACATACATAATAGTTACACCATGAATGAAACTGTACAGTAAGCCCATCTTCCCCAAAGAATTAAAATAAGCTTTAATTATACACATACCTTTCACAGAGCACCTGCCATTTTATCCCTTTCCTGTTTTCACCCATGACTTAATAATAGGTGGTCTTTTGGGGCGGACACATTGCTTTTATCATATATCCGAGTTTTAAATTCAAGCAAAGATCATCAGAAATATATTTAACTAGAGTTTTGGACATATTTATTTCTCTCATCCTCACTGGAAAACTGCTGGCTTTCCTTGGTGACAGCAGTTTTAGTTTAGTTTAGTTTGTTTTTGTTTTGTTAATCCTCACCAGAGGATATGTTTGCCATTTATTTTTTAAAAGAGTGGAAGGGAGGGAGAGAAACAGAGAGAGAGAAACAACGATATGAGAGAGGCACATCAATCAGTTGCCTCCCACATACCCCCGTCAAGGCCAGGGATTGAGTGTGCAACCGAGGTATGTGCCCTTGACCGGAATTGAACCCGCCACCCTTCAGTCCGAAGGCCAAAGTTCTAGCCACTGACCCAAACCAGCTAGGGCAGGAGTTTTAGTTTCCTTGCTCTGATGTGACCACCCAACTCCAGAGAATCAGGTCTATAGAGTGGTTGTGCCAGGAGTCTTCCTCCACTGTTGTTCTGTGCCCTTCCATCCCCCATTGGAAACGCTCCTTGACTGACCAAACTCCTATGATGCCGGTCTCGTCTGAGTACTGCAAAGGCACAGTTATGGTGATTCATAAATCTCTGCACTTTGATCACTGTTCCATGCCCTGCATGTCCACAGCCCATCAAACACTCTTCAAAAGGCCTCTCCTGGCTGAGTGCCTAAGTGCTAACCAAATCTCTCTTAATATTTGATTGCTTAGCTAGGTGAACCGATGTACAGAAGAAACAATAACACTTGGGTTAGTTCAGGGGAGGCTCTTTCAAACATTAACAGAAGAAACAATGACTAAAAAGGTGATTCCCTTGAATATTTGCTGTGACTTATGTTTGTGTTTCAAAAAAACCATAAACAAACTGTAATAATAATAATAATAATAATTCATGACATATCAGGAGCCATAAAAGTTTTCCTACCCTTTAACATGACACCCTTCGTAAAAATTTACCCCAGGGAAATAAAGCAGAAATGTATAAATTACTATGTGCACAAAAATGTTCATGCAGCGTTATTTAAAATAGTAAAAAACTAGAAACAACCTGAAGCTCCACAGAGCGTAGAAAGAAAAAATAAATGATGGTACATCACTTCAATGGGAACCCCAAAGGATGTAGACATGAAAAGCATTAACTTCATCAAGTTTGCTGTTATCAGGCAATGTCCCTTCCCCCACCTTCTTGAATGCGCCTGAATCTCCACCCCACCAGATTCTGATACCTCCCTCAGCTGCAAATCAGTGAGAGATGTTACCAATGGGAGTGTGATCTTCAGAAAAATTGTATGGAAAGAGAAAACGGACTGAGAACTAAAGTGTTAAGTGAAAAAAAGGAAAAGAGCATTGTGCCTGTATTATGATAGCAACCACATTAGAATATCAGCCAAGAAAAATTCATGCTGGTGGGATTTGGATGATTATTTTAAAACACTACTGTATTACCAATATTCTTTCAGCAATAAATAAAAACTGCAAATAAATTATTCCACTATGCCATTTTTAAATGGGGCTCCTCATGTCTTTCTTAAGCTTTATCACATTATGCACTTATATAAAAAGTCTTACTCATTCTTAGTCGTTCTCATTTTAGAACATTCATTTTCTCCCTATTGCACCCCAACACCCATCTCTATTACAAACACAGTTTTAATTTTCCATTTGGAAAGTACCATTAATTACATTTTTAAAAGGTAAAAAGGATAAAGAATCATCAAATCTCAACAGCCACAAGAAAGATGCTGCTACAAAAAGGAACCAAGGAAATTTTACCCAATCCATAATGTAGCCTCAAAGACTTTTTTTTTAAACCCCAGAGCCGAACTATCAACTGAATTATTTATTTTTCCCAAATAGAACTTTTCTAAGCCACTCAAAGTAATCAGAACTCACTCAGTAAGCACAAAAAAACCCCCACAAAACCCCCCACAAAACTAAATAAAAGAAAAATCTGTTCATTCATAACTTATCAAAACCAGGTTATTATATAAAATACACTTGGAAAAGGGATGGGGAGGCCAGGCGTAAAAAATTAACCTTCAAGGTTTATTGTGAAAAAGGTGACTAACCAATGTTTCTTTTCTAATTCATTTTTTAAAATCATTATTTTGACATTATTTTATTTCTTCTTTCCATTTTACAAAATTTCTTGGGGTGAAACTGGTTAACAAAATTATACAGGTTTCAGGTGCACAATTCTACAACATATCATCTGTAAGTCTCCGTCCATCACCATTTATCCACCCTTTACCCTCCTTCACCCCTCCCCAGTCCCCCCTTCCCAACAGCTGTCAGTCTGCTCTCTATCTATGACTCTGTCTCTATTATGCTTGTTAGCTCATTTTGTTCATTAGATTCTACATATGAGAGAAATCATATGATACTTGCCTTTCACTTTATGCTAAGTGAAATAACCCAGTCTTTTCTAATTCATTTAAAGTGTACAAATACTTATTAAAAGTATATCCATAAACACCAATCAAATATTTTTCCCAACTACTTATTCCATAAAATGAACTTTTCTCTCAAAGTAAGACTCATCCCTGGCATTCAATAAGTATTTGCTGAATGAACAGATGGATTCTGGTTTTCCCATAACCTACCTGGACCACATGTCTGATTGAACCAATCACCACAGGTTTAGCAGACTCTTCCTCCTCTTTTCTTTCCAAAATATCATCTATACCCCAGAGACCAGCAAGTTCCAATTCTCCTTCTTCTAAGGGGATGGAGTGCCCTTCAAAATTTGGTTTCTCGTACAAAATCCAACTACGAATAAAACACAGCAAAACTATTAGCCAGGCCTGGTGAGAGAGGTTTAGGTTACTCAAATATTCTGGGTAAAAGCCACCATATATAAAACACATTATGGCCAGTTCTCTATCAGTGATTGCAATTGGCCCGTTCATGTGTGGAATGGACCCTCAGGCTGCTGACTGTGAGGATCAGCCCCACAGTGTACGAGCTGCTGTGCAGGTGATGACCACACGAAGCGGAATTCGCCTCAGCAGGGTTTAGTAGTGCCTGCCGAGATCTCCCTTCCGATATGCTGCTTATGAGGTTTATCGGATCCTGCGCTGATGTCTGAAGCTGGCCACTGGATGGGTCTCTGGTGCAGGCCAATGTCAGGCCCTGTCTGTGCCTGGCCCTCGGCAGCCTGTGTGGAGCCGTCTCCGGGGGCTTCTTCTGTAAATCCCTGGTTAAAGACTCCTCTTCAGCCAGCCTTCAGTTGTTATTCAGGATGATTCTCCTTTAAGTTAGTTGCAGTTCCAGTGTGGTCATGGGAGGAGGTGAGTGTAGCTTCCACCTACTCTGCCACCACCTTGAAATCCCTTCTCACTGTGAAAATGTATTAACCCTCCCTAACCCAAAAATTCACTAAAATTTAGCTTCTGATAATTCAAGAATTATATCAGGACCTTAGAGAACATTCCACTATCAATATTAATGTCCTAGAGATACTAATGTTCTATAGAATTGCCAGTTAGTGGAGACTTAAAAAATGGATATAATGATACAAAGAACTACACATGTTAATAAAAAGCATTTTAAAAATATCCTTCACAACAATATCCAAACACTGAAGAAATACTTCACTTCAATACAGGTGTGGTTTACAAGTGTTCATATGAAAAAATAATAAAGTAATAATACATACATAAATTGTATTTTACTCACAACTGTAAACCTACTTTTGCCCACCTGTATTATGCTTTCAAGAAGACGGAAGCCAACAAAAATTGCAAAAAAAAACCAGAACTCTTTTATTAAAAACAAAATTGTTATACAAAAATGTTAATGTTATTTTCAGTCTTCAAATTTAAAAACAAAAGCTAATTATATTTTCTAATGAATATGTTGAATATATAGAAAAATATAGTAAAATATCTAAAACTTTATAGGAAAGATACTGCATATTTAATCAAATGGAGACCAAAAGAAAGCTTACTAATTTTTTAAACCACAAATGTCAAGAGCCCTATCTCTTTATTTCAAACAAGTTTACAGATAGGTACCAAAGATAAGTTTTCATGCCTCATAAGTAATTTTTTTAAATGCGTTTCTTAATTCAACTTCCTTTTTATGTTCTAGAAGCAATTAAACTGGTAAAAGAATTTTTTCACCAGCTTCTTTACCACCTGTTATCAAAAAGTTGGAAAATAACTTCTAACTTCATCCTTCACTGACCTATTGTATAAAATGTTAGCAAAATGTCTTTCCTTATGGAATTTAAAAAACTCTACCAACATAACTAGTATAATTCTTATCAACCTCACTGAAAGTTCATAAGCCAAATAAATGTATATCATGGACTCCGATGTCCATTAGTCCAAACCAATGTTATGCACACGGGGATACATGGGAAAGAAACTTAAATGCTACACTTTCCTGATTTTTCTAACAAAAATACGTTTCATTCCTGTAATCAGAAACATGATTAAAAACCATATTTCTTTGTTATGAATTCCGTTTAATATTCACTGGGACTAGTACTGTCTGCCCTTTACATTGCTAACGGCATAATTTTAAGTAAGGACTGAGGGCCGAAAAGGTAATGAAAAATGTAAAATGTAAGCCCTATAGCCAGGAAGTCAAAGAGCCAGTCTTACCAGCCTCTAACAACTTTCACAAGCACCACCGGCGACAGGCTCCACGAGCTACAGTCCTCGGTGTCACTGAAGACTTCAATGCACGCCTCGGAGACCTCCGGCTCACTGTAGATCACCACCTACGAGAGAGTGGGAGTGGTTGCACTTCTTACTGTATGTTATCAGACAAAAATAAAAGCTAGACTAGAAACAGAAAATAATCTTACCTTTCCAGGTCGGGGATTGATTTTATTTTGGACACTTCCTCTAAGCGTCTGTAATCAGATGAACAAAAACACAACAAATTATTAAACTTTGCGTACCAGTCCTCATTTCTCCTCCCATGATCCTTTGAGTATGATCATATTCACCTCACAATCTGCCAATTTTGAAACAAGTCTCTCTTGATCTAAGTTATAGTAAAAGTCTCTTTGAGTCTATACTATTAAGAGCTTCCCATGCCCAAGTGAAGTCGCCGTTTCGATTTCTCTTCACTTACTAGTAAATGCCTAGGCTATTTTCACCAATCTAGAAAATTTAGGCCTCAAGAGTCAGACCTATGTTTTATATGAATTTACAGAATAAGAACTCAGCAGATTACAATTCAAAATATCTTGGTATAATCTCAGATAAAGAAAGAGAAAGTATAATGTATTAATCACTTATCTAGAATGAGCTGAATCAATTTTATGTGTTCATATACACCTTATCTGAATCTATACAGTTTTTTCATAGTAATATCTACCATCACATAACAACTACTAGTCTAAATAGAAACATGTTGATGAAGCCCTGTCCGTTGTGGTGCAGTCGATTGGAGTGTCGTCCTGTACACCAAAAGGTGGCGGGTGCCATTCCCAGGCAGGGTACATACCCAGGTTGCAGGTTTGATCCCAGGTAGGGGCGTGTATGGGAGGCAACTAATCAATGTTTCTCATATCGATGTTTCTCTCTCTCTCTCTCTCTCTCTCTCCCCCCTTCTCTCTCTGAAATCAATAAAAAAACAACAACACAACAACATGCTTATGGATTATTTCACAATGTACCTCGTACATAGTATTTAATTACTCCCTTTTTGATAGATAAAATACGAAGACCAGTAAAACCAGAAATGCATAATACAATAAAAATAATAATTATACATGTAAAAAAAAGATAAAACATGGACTACTTTCAATGCTGACCAGGATACCTACTCTAAGGACTGCCTTTGATCTGATCACTCTTTCATCATCCCAGAGTAGAACATGCCCAAGAGACCAGATGAAGGTCTCAGGAAAGCATTATTAGAAGTCAAAATGGCATTGACTTATTTATATATACACATTAGAAATAGATAAGCTGAAGAAAAAGCCTAAAAATTAAGACAAAATTCAGGTAACACATAGAAGATAGAATAGTTATATATAATCAATAAAGCCCCAAATCTAAAGAAAAACAAAGGGGGGTATACAGCACTTTGTTTCTCCTTTTTATCCCATTTTGGCTGTTTTTCAAGAGATTCCTCAGGGAAACTGTATATTCTGTTGTCAGACTCACCAGACTGTTGTCAAATAAGAGAAGTGACCCAAGAACAATGAAAAAGAGAGAATAAGGCTGTCATGAACAGGAAGTAGACCAGTGGAAATTTTGTGATTCAGAGAAATACTTAAACATTTTATAATTTCTCTGAGTTATAAATTAAGTGTTCATATGCAGTAGTGGTTCCCAAAGAGTGGTCCAGGGATTCCTGGAGGGCTCACAAGGTACTTTCAGGGAGTCCACAAGATCAAAACTATTTTCATAGGAAGAGGAGGCAATTTAGTTTTTTCACTCTCTTCACCTCATAGGATACAATGGCATTTCCCTGAGTGTCCATGACATCATTGCCATGATGGCTAATGAAATGTACATCTGTGTGTTCTTGTGCCTTTTTACTTTTGTCAGTGTTAACGTCTAACATAATAAATTCTGAGAAGTAAAACCCATGTGAACAAACGCTCTTTGGAGTCCTCAATAATTTTTAAATATAAAAGCATCCTAAGACCCAAAGTTTGAAAACTTTTGAAAAGAGGGATCTGTACCTTGCCGGAAACCCAACTATATATATAAATTTTTAAAATATCTTTTTATTGATTTTGAAGAAGAAGGGAGAGGGAGAGAGAGAAAGAAACATCAATGATGAGAGAGAATCATTGATTGGCTGCCTCCTGCACCCCCCACACAGGGGATCGAGCCCACAACCTGGGCATGTGACCTGACCAGGAATCAAACCGTGACCTCCTGGTTCATAGGTCGAGGCTCAACCACTGAGCCACACTGGCAGGGCCCAACTACATTTTTTTAAAGAGCTTCCAGAATTACATTCTAAGATAGGCTTACAGTAAAAGCCAATACAACAAACTGAAACATGTGGCAGTGCCTCGGACATGAGGGAGGGTGCCAGGTATTTTCTGCTTGGATAAACTGTTTCACATGATGGTCTACACTTGACAGATGGCCTGGCTCATAGGGTGGGCAACAGGAATATAGAGGTGCATTCATGTTTCTGGGCTAACAGAGCTGACCTCTAAACCTTATATTCTGTTTTCCTCTTTCATTGTCTTCCCTCAACTTGAGTATCAAGCTTGGTAACAGAAAGGCACAAATTCACATCAAAAATTGGATTAAGAAAACATCCGCAGTCAGACAGAAGAAGATGGAGAAATCATAATTGTTGCTCAAAATCATATTTTGCTGCCCTCTCTACAATATTCAAGGAAAGAGTCAATGTAGCCCCAAATTTTTTACTCCTCAAAGCCTTTGTGGGAAAAAACACTCCCCTGATGAAAAGTAATTCCAAATAAAGAGAAAATACTTTCTCAAATGCATAGCAGACATCTTTATTGCTACTTATGGGAAGAAAGAGTGAACCTCACAGCACAAGAGAAGGGATTAGGAATAAGGGTAGCTGCTTCACAAATCTTCAAAATTCTAACTATAGTACTGAGCATTTTTAGGCAAAACTAGGTAAGAAAAAAAAACATCTTGTCTCTCTCTGAACTCTCAAGCTATTTTATCTATACCTTTCCTAATACAGCATATAAATTCACAAGTACCTTAAAATATCAGTAACTTGTTTTCCCTGCTAGACTACAAATACCTTGAGAGCAGAAGCTTAGTATCTCTTTCTTGGACCCTAGCAGTCCCTTGTACATAGGTTTCCAAATATGCGCTCAAGAAATTAAAAAATGATTGTGTACAGCATAACTATTTCTAAAAGAATAACATGGATTGCTCATTGTCCCTCTCTCCTCTCACTTTATAAGTACCCCAAATAAGTGATCATATGTTGCTACTTACTGTTGGATCTGATAACGGCATTCCAGAAAAAGAAATGTTTGGGTCAAACCGTCTGGATTTGAAAAGATCCATGAAGTCTGTGTCACTGTTCCCATAGCTCAGCAAGTTCGATGTAAGAGCACTTTCAACGTGATTAACCTTTTCCACATCATCGCTGTTCTTTGGTTTTGAAAATTCAGAAAATTTTGTTTCTGGCAGGTGTAGGTTGCTTCGTGAATCCAGATCTTTTTTGCTTTCCTCTTTTTGCAGGTATTTTTCCATGTAGCTTGGACTTTTCAAGCCCGAATGAGATGTATTTGACGAGTCGAAATTGAAGACCTTTAAGAAGTTGTTGGGCGGAAGATTTGGCTGTTCTTTTTCTGAAGAGCAGGGTGGGGCACCCTCAGCCACAGGCGGTAACACAGGAGACCGAGAAAGAGAAGTGTTCTGAGAAGAGCTGAAAGTTGTGGTCATAGCATTGACTGACGTTACGGAGGGAGAAAAGATTTTGTCTTGTGGTAAAGAAGACAATATGCTTGAGAAAAGGGCACTTTTTTCTAGCCTAGATCTCTTAACTCCACCATTTGTGACCTCCCTGTTCTCCTTGTCGTTCACTTCTGGGTTCGCCAGAGGCCCATCTTTCCCGTTCGTGTGAGCGTGCAAGGACTTGAAGAGGATACTCTGTTCGGTGGACATGCGTTTGGACCTCGGTGTGGACTTTGGGTCTACATTCTGCATCAGCTGTAAAGCCGGTGACATTTCTGGCAGGCTTCCCTTTTTCTTTCCCAAACCAACGGTAAACACGTTGGGATCAAGCACCTTTTCTAAGTGGTCCTCATGAATAGGAGGCATGACAAAGTGAGGGGTAGGAGAGTTTGGCACCCTGGCTTTCTTCTTCTTCTGAGGCACACACACAGTGCTGTCCATCTTTTTGATAATTTCAGTGAATTTTTCCATATCAGAAGAAGAATCAAGTACACTATCATCACTACCACCAGAGACATTCAAACGACTGGCAGGGCTGTCCTGGCCATTCACAACACTTTGATCTGGCCTCTGAGGAGTTTCTAAATGGTTTCTGCCACCAGGGGAGTGCGTGAGGCTGGATTCAGCCACCAGGAGTGCTCTGTCGCCCTGACTTTGGGCCTGGATAGGCAGAGTTTTCTCTGATTCTAGCGGCATGACTTGTGGGCCAGATTTTGCTGCATGTTCCTCTTTGCAATGAATGTGTTTGGGTGATGTGCTCTTATTGCCCAGTACTTCCTCTTTCTGGGGAGCACAACTTGCAACGGAAACCACTTCAAGTTCATTATTGTGACAACTTGGCAACTGCACTTCTCTCACTTCGGAGCTATCTGAGATGATCTGGGAGCTTACATCCTGGGTGCTCTCCACGGGAAGGACGAAGGACCTGACCTGGACCAGGACCTTGGATGGACTCTCAGTTCCCACAACTTCTGGGCTGTGCTCTGTGGACAAGGGAAGGCTGACTTCTCCTCCTCCTCCTCCTTCTCTTCTTCCTCCAAGTTTGGAGGGGGGCATTTTCTCATGATCCAGATGAGACACAGGCAAGATACATTCACTGTGGTTTTCTGATACTTTTAGATCAGTGCACGGAAAACTGCTCACGGGAGCTTCAGCACACGTGTCTTTGGGCACATCCACAGGAATGGGTGCAGGCAGTGAATGAGGCTGATTAGATGACTCAGCTGGGGGCTGTGAGTCAGAAAAAGTATCCTGTGGTTGTGGTGTGGCTGTTGGTGAGTCTCTGGTATCAAGAATGGAGGGAATGTTTTGTGAAGTCTCAGTCCTACTTTCAAGTACAAGTCTTTTGCTGTCAGCAGCCTTTGAGTCGTCCTCTCCTAAGAGTTTGTGGTCCTTGACAGGAATCAGAGCAGTAGCCACTGGTTCAGAAGGGCAGCCAGCATCTACTTGATCACCATGCTTAAGCTGAGAACCAAGAGCTTGATCCTTGGTGGGCTCCCCTTCCATTCCTCTTCCTCCGGGACCCCCGGTTGCTGGGAGAATCTCCTCTTCAGAGAGAATAACTTTGGTTTCTGCAGAGGTTTCCTTCACCAGAACACCATTGTGGTGACTACCTGGCATTACTTTCTTTTCAGGTTGCTCCATTTCCTTGGGTTTTTTGGCTAAATTCAGCTTTGCCCTCCCGACAAATGTTTTATTAGAGGCAAGGGTGCTCCTTGTGCCTCGAATGTCAGCGTGTCTTGGGCTATTGTTTGCCCGTTTGTTTTCAAATAAGGAGATTTTGGTGGCAGTGTTTCCTTTATGAACTGGCTGGCTAAATGGACTATGCTCATTTCCCAAACTGTCAAGATTCTTAGGAGATTTAAGATTTAGTTCCACATTTTTAGGCTTGGCAGGGCTGCAAGAAAAAAGCAATATGATACAGTTATGACCTAGTTTTAAGAAGTGAACATATCAATTTTTTATCCTATATAATAAAAGGCTAAAATGCAAATTGTCCCTTCAACCAGGAGTTTGACCAGGAGTTTGACCAGGGAGCAGGGCCACGGCCCCTCCTTGACCCCCCACCCCCCACCGCCCCGCCCGTTTTTAATCAATGTTTTGCTTCAGTGTGAGGGGTAAGAAAATTATATAACTAAGAAAGTCTAGAGGTGGGAGGTTAGCAAGTTTATTGAGTACCTGGTATGTACATACAGTGCTTGGCACTAGAGTTATGACGTCTTAGGGCCTCAAGAACATTAGAACAAATTTAAATATTTAATGCACTCCCATATTTTAAATACGTAAATGATTTTTCTAAACATCAACTGTGTAATTTTTATTTCATCATAATTTTTTATATTATCCTAAAAAACTAAGTTATAAAAAATATTTATCTATTATTTACCTCTTTGGATATTTTATTTCCACTATCCTTCCCCCATACAATTTTTATCTGATTATATAAGTATGCACACTACAGAAAATTTGGAAAATATAAAATATCACTCATAATCCTACCATTCAGATATCTCTGTTAATATTTTAGACTATGTTCAGTCTTTTTATATGTAGTTAAATAGTCTTAATAGAATTAAGATTATTCTCTTCATAGAGTTTGATATCTTGTTTTTAAAAATAAGATTACTTAACTTTATATTTAACATTTTTAATATTTCAAGTTACCAAAATTTTTATTTGAAAAGTTTTATGAGCGTCTGCTTAAGAGCCCGTCATATGGATGTACCATAAGTACCTACAATTAGTCAATTGTTGGTTTTGTCACCATTTCTTGAGCAAAGTGGGTCTCCCCCCTCAGTCTCCTCTCTTGGGTGTAATTACCCCCCCTAATAGAAATCATAAATCTTTGAATGTGCACACTTTTTTCTTTTTGTCCTTAGCTGGCTCTGGTCCTGGCTCTTATGCTAATTATCTATGTGTACTTGGTCAAGTTACTTTTACTCTCCGAACTCTACCTTCTCTATCTGTAAACAAAAACTAGATAGTTTAGAACAGAGTTGGTTCCCCCATCCCCCCACCCCTTCAAGGAGTTCTCTTCAAGGGCTGCAGTTGGGAACAGTAGAGACTGAGGGATGGGGCTGTTGGCCAGCCACCGTCCTTTCAATCAGAATCACTCTACTTATCTGTTTCATATATCACTTTTATATAAGCTTTCCTAGAAGAATGGACTCCAAAGCTAAAAAACCAAACAAAACCAAAAATGTCTAAACTAGTGGTCTAGTGGTTTATAAAATGGAAGAGATAATGACCACCAACATTTGCTGATTGCCAAGCCCTGGAGAAACACTCTTCATGGCTTGCCTAAGGGACAATGTTATCCATTCTCTTTTAAGATGAGGAAGTTGAAGCTTAGAGAAGGCAAGTGATTCGCCTGAGGTCACACAGCTAGTAAGTGTCAGTGCCATGATTTGAAGCCAGTTGTTCTGGTTTCAGCTGCCATGCTCTCAACCACGCTACTGTTCTGCTTCCCCAGAAAGGGTCGGACAAGACTCGCCTCAATGACCTCCTTAGGATCCAAGGAGCCAATGACTTAACTCTGTAAGATAAAGTAATCACACTTTATGAGGCCACCACGATGAGAACGCAAAGTGGAGAAGCACTGAAATCTCCCACTGTCTCCCCATTGGACTCACTGCTCTTCAAGGTTGGGCCTGAGGAGCCTTTTGAAGGAACAGCAGATATGACTTTGGGTGAGACACCTTATCCTTGTGGATAAGAATGAGAAGACTTGAGAAGTCTTTCCCAAATGCAGCATTAAGAATTTATGTTTTCATTTTTTAAAATGTTATTTAAATACTAAATTTGATGTATTCTCATTAATTTCTCCCAGGCTGCTTTCCCCCAAATCTCCATTAGATATTTAGGCTTGCACAGTGTGGGCCCGTATCTTAAATTTAAAAGCATATTAACTTATCAGCACTTCCTTAAAGATAAATTCTAAAACGAGTAAGATGATTAGAAATAGAAAGTTTCCAATAGAAAGCTATCATGAGGGATGTTCACATACCAAGGAATATACATTTAAAAATTCTCACTAATCATCTCTAAGAACAGTCAAACATCAAAGTGTATCTTATGAATGTAAATGGAAAATGCTACAAGTTAGCCAACAAGCTACCTTAAGAACAGGAAACATCTGCACATTAAAGATTTACACCAAGATCAAAATACATTTTTACAACCAGACTTTCTGTGTTATTAACTTCTGCTACCAAGAGTCACTGCAATTAACCTAGCTCAAAGTGATTAAAAGACTCCTATAATTCATGTTGTAATGCCTTCATTACAATGTGAGGAGAAAATAATGGAGTCTAAAAAGCTATGGCTATAATACAAGAGGAAAATTCTCCTTATTTTAACTACACCATTTTAAGAATCTCAACATTCAATACTTGGTAGAGAACAGAAGATCATTTTTCTCACAACTTCAAGAAACATACTGCTTCATAGTTATTTATTTATAATCCTCACCTGAGGATATTTTCCCACTGATTTTTAGAGAGAGTGGAGGGAAGGGGGAGAGACACACAGAGAGAAACATCGATGTGAGAGAGACACATCAACTGGTTGCCTCCCACATGAGCCCCAACTAGGGAAGGGGATCAGGCCTGCAACTGAGGTACGTGCTCTTAACTGGAATTGAACCCAGGACCCTTCAATCCGCTGGCCAATGCTCTATCCACTGAGCCAAACCAACTAGGGCCATAGTCATTATTTTGGAGGGAATATAGTTTTAACTCTAAAACTTCAGATTCACATTGTTGTTGTTTTCTAAATAATCTGAGTTGCCTGGCCAGTGCTGCTCAGTGGTTGAATGTAAACCTATGAACAGTTTGATTCCAGCCCAGGTTGCCGGCTCAGTTCCCAGTAGGGGGTGTGCAGGAGGCAGCTGATCAATGATTTTCTCTCTTTTATGTTTCTATCTCTCCCTCTCCCTTCTTCTCTGAAATAATATATGTGTATATATAAATATGTGTGTGTATACACATATATCCTATATAATAAAGAGCTAATATGCTAATTAGACCAAACAGCAGAATGACCTTCCAGGCAACCTTCTGATCAACCTTCCAGACGAAGCCGGGTCTGCGAGGGCCGGCCGAGGCTTCGAGGGGCTGCAAGGGCCAACTGAGGCAGCAGGGGCTGCGAGGGCCAAGCCCCTTGCATGAATTTCGTGCATTGGGCCTCTAGTGTATATATAAAATAAAATGATCTGAGTTAACGTATTTTCTTGAAAGGCAATCAAGGGGAAGTTCAAGGGTTTGAAACACCCCATCAGTCACAGAGAAAAAACTAGAAATCATTATTAATTTTCCATTTCAATAGTTTGCCAATTCACCAAGTTGAGGCCCTTGTGGAAAACAAAATTAAATAGTGTCTGGCAAAGGAAAAATTTTAGGTAGAAAGTAATTAGTATTGAGAAAAAGACACTTGGTTTAGTTCTATTTCAGACAACAGCACTTGAAGAGTTTCATTGTAAGATCCGCTTGCCGGGTTTGTTTACCCTGCTCCTGAACAGTGTAACATTTCTGGTTCTTCCACTGGTGTATTCCCATTGGCAGACAGGGGAAGCTGAAGCGTCCTCACCAGGTACACTGCCACTTTTCTCTGAGGCTCACACTAGGAGGTCTGAATGTTGGCACACTGGCCTTCTACAAATAATGGGCATCATTCACTCAGGTTATTTCTCCACCGCTGCTGTTACAGAATAAATAGCTGACTAAATCAAAGGTCTCCAGGTTCGAAGCTGGTGAGGTGGCTCAACTTATTCATTAAGCAGACTTTCCTCTCAAGTGTTTACCAAACAGATCTCCTACTTAACTTATCCAAGCTTACTTATCCAAGAAGTCAAATAGAATGGTCTATTTTAGTTTAAAAATGACAATGTTGTGAAAATACCTCTTTTAAAACATGTGTGAATGCAGGAAAAATGTAAGCAGTTTAGATAAACACTCATTGTTCACATGTGCTGACTGGGAGATGGAGGAGAGTGTGGGAAGGGGGAGGATCTTAAGAGCTTTATATTACCCTCCCTATCCTGTCCACTCATACCACTTACATTATCATCAAGGCACAAGTCCTCCCAAAACACACACACACACACACACACACACACACACACACACCAACACCAACAGTGATTTTCTCCTTTCTTTTGAACATCCCCAACTTTTACAGATGGTAACACCCATTGGCAGTTTAATCAGAAATCACTTCATATTGTTATTTGATTTGTCAGCATCTTGTGTTCCAGACTGAGCCATAAATTTTTCAAGGGCAAAATACTGACTCATAGTTGTGGGTTCTCCTCCCCCCCCTCAGCCCCCCCATAGCTCATAGCACAATGCCATGCACAGAAGGTACTCAATATTAGAAAAATCAATCAACTTAACAGCAAATAGTCGGTTGTTGAGCCTGATTCTTCTGTGTCTTTTCATTTAGCAAACAGTCTCCCAGTAAGACCACTGACCTTTCTTAAAAGTTTCTACGACTACTCTTAAACTCACTCATGTCAAAGCTCCTGGGACATACTGAACATATTAGTGTTTGCTCCATGTTTTGAAAATCACTGCATATGTGTTTTAAGAATGTTCTGCCCAAGAATACCAGCGCACATTTTGAATAAAGAATAAAATTCGCTTATGCCATACAGTCTTCTATCACTTATGAGCCTCAAGAGATACCTCATTTTTACATTCATTTAATTAAAACTGGGATTAACAGCTGACCATACTCCCGAATGCGTCGTCTTAAACCTGAACTACGTGAAATAGCTCTTCACTACCTTAATTTCAACACAAGAGAAAATTCAGCGCACAGATGTTCTTCCACTAATACCGATCGGCCACCAGCACGTGCCTCTCCGCCCGGTCCAACTCCCCAGCCAGTTCCGCGGTTACTTACAGGGTCACTTTAGTGGTCACCGTCGACCTGCCCGCCCCGAAATGATTCCTGGGCTTCAAGCCCTCAGCGTCAGGGCCTCCAGACGATCTGCCCAGCTCTTTGCTCCGACTTCCCTCTCCCCGGCCGTCGAAGTGGTTGGGGAGCGGCCCCCTCTTGTGCTCCGGCTTGATCTCCGGCAGCAGCGAGCTGCTCCGGACCGTGAGCTCGCGGGGGATGACTCGGGGCGCCTCCTCCCCGTTCTCCCCCGCGGCAGCCTTGGC